CATTACATATTGTATAGTAAAAAAAAAAGTGATAAGCTGAAAAATTAATATACTGTACTGCTACATACCTAAAAATGCATGCTACACAATTAACAGATGTATTCTGACATTGCCTGCTGTTACAATACCCGAACAGTGCTTGCAGCTGACTGGCCTGATAATTTTCTAGCACGTCCCTTTGACAAAAGCCGATTTAATGAGATAGGGCCGACCACAGATTGCATTTCAGTCAATTCCTGCTGAATCGGTCAAAATTTGATTCATATGTACCCAGCTTTAGGTTAGATGGCATAATGTGCACTATTTTATTAGGGGGCACCCTGAAGCAGAAAAAGTCAATTTTGCTGTTCTGAGTAGAAGAACACAGGCCAGCATGACAACGTAGCTTTGTAAGGTGTTTCTATGATGGCCAGGGCTCACGGGACATGAGCTCAGTAACACAATAGATCATCTGTTCCAGTGCACTCCTTAAGGTGCCCATACACTACTCGATTCTCGTACGAGAATCGTGGGAAATCCCGCGATCGTACGAGAATCGAGCAGTGTGAACGAAGACGTGCGACCGTTTTTACTGTACGGTCGCACGTCTTTTGTCAAACCAGCATGCTCGAAAACCCGCCGAGAATCGTACGATTGTCGGCGGGTTTCTAGCCTGCTCGTTCGACAGCTGCTGAACGGGCTCGTTCGACAGCTGCTGAACGGCCTGCTTAGCCTGCCCATTCTGCATTGCGGTCATCGGAAGCCCGCCCCTCAGCGGGGCGGGCTTTCGATGATCGCAAGTACGATCTGCCTGTCCAAGATGGGGAGATCGTACGAGCTTTTAATAAGCTTACGACCATCGCAAGACAAAAGTCTTGCAATGGTCGTAAGGTGTATGGGCACCTTTACAGTGATCAAATCTTTTATGAACAGGTGCTAAGGTGAACTATGGATAGTGCTGTCTTCAGACACAAAAGAGCAGTAGCAAAGTATCGTCAACACAACAAAATCCGCAAAGCAAGGACCTAAATTGTTACAAACATCCAGTGCAATATTTCGGGACACAAAAGTCTCTTTACTCAAGACAATAGTGGTTGTCATATTTGCCTTGCTTATTGGATTTGGTGCAGATACACACTAAAGGTCTTCAGCTGCCATTGAGTTCTGTTTTCTGGTGCTTCTCTACACCTTTAGAGCCCATTCACACCACTGTGATGCGGTAACACACGCTACATGCATTGGTGCTCTGCCATGCCATTCATCGTAAATGGCACCCCAATGCACCTTGAAAATGATGGACGCATCACAATGTACAGTGTCCTGTGCATTGAACTACACAAAAAAAGCAGCCTGCGCACGTTACTATGCATGTACTGTGAAAATACAGTGATGAGCACTGGCATAACAGCCTCATCAGCACAGACCAATGACAGGCCAGGCTGATCCCGAGAAAGAAAACCTCCCTGTTTAATTTCCTTTCAGATCCTGTAGCATGGATTGTGTACAATCGTGGATACTGCCTGCTAACACACAGTTCTATAGCATGTGCCTATCTCAAACATAACAGCAGAAAAGCTGCAACTCACTGCTGGATTCCCCACTTTCCCCCAGCAGGGTCTGACAGTCAAGAATGTCTCAGGAAAATTACAACTATTGGCTTGTGTGAACGCAGGAGTTTGACCTGAAACATGACTGTACTGCTGTTTACTACTTCAAAATTCCATTCTTTGGAAGCCCGGAGCAGTGGCTCTCTGTGTCCCGATTAGATTGAAGCAGTGAAAATTTAGAGTCTTCTACAATCAGATCATTACAGCCTAACTTCTGCTTTCATAGAAAGTAAAGGGAAAAAGTTTAGATTTCAGTGCCTATAGCTACAGAGGTGTATAAGTGATTGTGTGCTGTGACTGCTTGTTCAGAGTATTTACATACTTTGCAGTTGGCACAGGTTCACACCATGCGCATGTTATAACGCTCCACTTCAGTGTGCACTGGTATACACTACGTGTCAGCAGTGTGTAGCGATGTCTGGAGATAATACACAAGGCACCGCTACACAAGACACAGTTAGCTTTCCCCCCCCACTTTATTGGCAGTGTACATTCCATTCAAAGGTCCTGTGCTGTGGTGCGATACGATACCCCTGGAGCCCTCCAATGAGCTGTGGAAAAATGCAATGAGGGGAATTTATCAAAACTGGAGCAGAAGAATCTAGAGCTGTTGCTCATGGCAACCAGTCAGCTTCTCTCTTCAGTTTGTTCAGTTAAGATTTGAAAATGAAAGAGAGAAGCTGATTGTTTGTCGTGCACAGCTGCTCTAGATTTTCATAAATTCCCCTCATTATGACTTTTCCACACTGCAAATAATACCAGTGTCAAGGTGTGAACGGGGCATTTAGAAAACAGATGTTTTTCTGTGTGCCCTTGCTGTAACTGAAAGATACATTGTCCACACACCAATCCACTTCAGAATGCCATATTTATTAACATTCTGGCAGCATAATATGTCAATGCAACATTTTGAGACCATGTGGTCTCAAAACATTGCATTGACTTATATCATGCTGCAAGGACGTTAATAAAGACGACATTCTGAAGCATGCTGTGTATGCTGTGGTGCCATCCACCAGGTGTTCCATCACCAAAGGAATTGAACAGAAGGGAGTTTAATAGTACGGAGTTCGGTGGAGATATTTCTATTATTAACCTTTTTGCAACTGGTGTTGATCCAGTGCTGAAAATTCCCAGTCACCGAAACCTGAATGAGTCTTAGAAGTAAATCTCGCAAAAACTTGGACTATTCAAACAGTGCATGCGCTGAAAAATACATAAGGGTTAAAAAAAAAGCATGTCTCCTTTTTGTATGCCCTGCAAAAATAACTTTGCTTTGTGAGTTTTCCGTCTGATAGCTATAAAAATGAATATAAGACACAGAGAAAAAGCAGTCCTGTAGCAGGCAGAAACCTCCGGGGACATTTTGCCATGAGTATGTTTAAAATTGTTTATCCGATTAACCGATTAATCGAACTTAATAATCGGCTAACTAATCGATTTTGAAAATAATCGTTAGCTGCAGCTCTAGGTGAGACATAATTCACAAATATGCCAGAACCTATAGCTCTTACCATACATGTTACTTGCACAGGAGGAAGAATTTTCCAGATTTCTGGCTCTCCTAACAACTCTGCAGTCTCTGTAGCCGCTCTCCAGAGGAACATTAACTGTTTGACAAAGCACCTTACACGGTTCAGCTACTTACAACGCACTGAAGCAACCGAACCTCTATGGTATTAGTGCATTATTTATATATAGACTGTTTGAGGAAAACAACACTGACACATTGTTATCCTTGTAATAATGCTGCACTGCGATACTGACAACTGTCATCAAGCTTCCTTTAGTCGAACATGACTAGTAGTTCCATTATGTTTGAGGAGAATTGGTGTTTAAACCAAGAACTGAGGGATTTTTTTTATCATAAGAAGTTGGAAGGTGCTGCTGGTGTGTTAATATTTTTCATCTTCATGTTCTTGGTTGCCATGGCTATATGTTTCTACACAACGCAAGGAATGTAGGTAGCATCCTATCAGGACAAAACTATGTATGCATTTATTTCACATGTTTAAGGTGCAATTCCATTCAGCAAACCATTATTTTCCATGGGGCCCATTCATACTTTTGCATTGCGATGTTGTACGTCTAGGAAAAATTGCAGGTGCTTCTTTTGGCGTTATTTTTGGCCCCTAAAATTGCATAAAACGTGCAACAAGCTCCCACCCCCTAGCAGGCTAGTCTTTACTTGGGCAAAACAAAAATGCATAAAAAACATGCATCAGTGCATTCATAATAGTGTTAAAAAACACACTAAAACCGCAGAGATGTAAATGAGGGCTTTTCACTGACACTTTCACTGCCCTGAGCGGCAAAGTGACAGTTGCTCTTTTTTTATATATTGCTGTTTCACCGGGCCACCAGTCACCAGGCTATGTGTTCCATCTGCCAGCGCAAGATTCTGCAGCCAGATGTAAACAGAATATCGGCACCTGATCTTGGTAATCGGCCTGAAAGTTGGCCCATAATTGCTAATGGTTTTGAAAAAATGATATCGACTCCTACTCCGAACCTCTCTGCCTACATTTTGTAATAAATACCTTTCTGAATGTTTAAATCTTATGTGTGGTCATGTGACCGCAAAGCTCCAGAGCTTCTGTATACTGTAGAGGGTCCGATAATAGTGCTGAATCCCCTGTAGACGTGTCATCATCCAACCAGCATCCATAGCTCCCAGGGTTGTCAAGGCATTAATGGCTGGGAGAAGTGTACCCATCCATCAGCGAGAACGAGAACGAACGAGAGAGAGAGAGAGAGAGAGAAGGGATGGGCCGGAGCTTTGTAATCATGTGATCACATGGAAAAAGTTAACAAATAAGCTGTATTCAGAAAGCTATTTAATAAAAAAAGTAGGCAGAGATGCTCAGAGCAAAGGGGAAGAATCTTTAAACTGGTACGTTATTGGATAGTCTTTCTTCCATCTGAACTCTACAGTTTTTCTAGAAATATTAGTAATGTTATTTCTACAATACATATGGTAACAAAATGGTTTTCATTTGACTTTTCAACCTTACTGTGCAATTTTGATTAACCTTAATATGCTTTTTGAGCTTCGTCATATGTTGTTACATTTCGATGGCTATATGTGAATTTGCATCCTCCTTTCCATCTACCCCATGCATGGTTTTTGACAACATGCCATTATGATTTTTGATTATTTTTTTTTTACTATAAATATTCCTCAGTGTGCCATCGATTAACGATACTGGAAAACAAATAAACAAGCGCAGACTCTGCCTGTGGAATACTGAAAACAATCACAAAGGATATGTAAAGGCTGGAGCAAAGCAGACTACACAGTTGAACATAATCAGAACACTACTTTGGAGATTTGCTTGTGAAAATAATGTGTTCTGCATTTACAAAGCTTAGCCACAGAGACGGAATAAATAGAATGAAACCATAACAACATACCTCACCACAGGGTTCCCATTGTACAGTATATAAATGCCAGCTTCTTTATTCCCATAGATCTGATTGCTGCGGATGCTGCCTTTCCCGTTGCCTAGGACCACAATGCCGGAGCGGAGGCCACTGTGTATTCTGTTACACTGCCAGTTGCGTCACATGCATAGAAAATAGAAGTACACATATTAATGGAAAGTGCAGGCCAAGGTATATAGATCACAACGTGAAAATTATTTCTAAAAACAGCAGCACAGCCCTTTCTAAATGAGTCTGACTTGCTTTTTAAATCGGATTTGTTCATGTGAACCGAAACAAACCTGCTTCATACTGAACTACATTCATAAGTTGCTATTTTAACTCTCCTGTGCTTTAGCAGCTAAAAAGTAGCATGCTAGTATTTCTCTTTTAAAAAATATGCTGTCATTTTGACAGTTCGAGCAAAGGGGCAATGTCTGTAAAAAGGAAGCAAGTCCCCCTGACCCTGACTGAAACTCCCCTCTCCAATGATTCCCCGCCACGCCTTCCTCCGCAGTCAGCACCAGTATAGCCAGTGTTGACTGGTGATGGAGCCTAGAGGGAGCAGTGTCACCTCTGCATCACAATGCTCAAGTCTAGCGACTCACATTGTGGGAGGTCACATGCCTGGAAGCACTGGTTAATTTCTGAGGAGGAAGCGGCAGGAGGACACCGGAGGGGCAAGAATCAGTTTCGTTTGGCGTTCTCATTGGACTTCATATATGTGAATATTCACAGACATTGTCTTTTTTGTCAATAAGTAAGAGTGTCTCTTTAAAGATGATTATAAAATAAAGACTATTAAAGCAGGACGGCAAGAGGTTAAAAGGAGAAATATGGGATGAGTGAAATACACTCATCCCAATAGTTAGAGCAGCTGTCACACATCGGCTCTATATATTGTGAACTGAGCGATCACATACTGCTGATCACTCAGTTCCCAATCATATCCCTGCAGAGAGTAGTTACTGTCAGTCACTGCTCCCAGCAGGGATTCCCCCCTCCTCCAGCACTGACTGGAGGGATGGGGGAGGCGGGCACAGCAGGCTCTGGCTCTAGAGAGGCAGTGCCAGCTGTCAGCCAGGCAAAGGGGTGGATCCCAGAAATATTATCAGGATCCTTCCAGGCTGGGGCGCAGCTCCGCTCTGTCAGCATATAGCAGGAAATAGCCCACTAAATGCTGAGTTTTGGGTCACAGGAGGACATTAACAAATGTCCTCCTGTTACCCTAAAGAGAACTACAGCCAAAAAAGGTTTGGCCATAGTTCTCTTTTAACTAAATGTTTACATACAGCTATATGGTGAAACCTGTGCAATGCAGACAGAAATGCAGCCGAATCATGTAGGGATGGGCAAGAAACTCTATCAGGTTTAATGCTGTGCCCACTGGGGAGTATTTCCCCTGAATAGCTGCGACAGTGGTGATGCTATTTTCAAAGTGTACACATACAGCAATAAAAACATTTGTTAGAACCTCTGTAAATCTTTTATTGTTGTGTGGCAAGATTACCCTTACTGAGAGAGGTTCCGATGCTTCCCTGAAAAGAAAACTTTTGTCTGGAGTAACACTTTTAAAGAGGAACTTTACCCTTTAGAATGGCAACAAAGCAACATTAGAAAAGAGGTTTAATAATGACAAATCGACAAACAGATACTTACAGACAATTGCTGGCTTTATAATATTTGCATTCCTAATTTTTCTTCTCCCCATTCTTTTCACAGTGGCTGTTTTTATTAAGTGCAGATTGATTCATCTGCCCTTACTTCCTGGAACTGTGGCACATGTAACTAGGACATGTGACCATGCACATCATCTCAGGGGAGGAAAATGCCTTCACCTGAGATCTCACGAGCTTTTGAAGTTTACAGATGAGATTTCCCAGTGCACTGTTAAAAAAACACGCGACAAACGCACGTTTCCGTGGGCTACTTGGCTGTATCCCAATGGAAACGCGAGACCAAAACGCCCCAAAGAAGTACATGTACTTCTTTGGACGTAGGCTGTTTTGTATCGCGTTCGGACGGGCGGAAATACGGCAAGGTGTGAACCAGACCCATTGAATACAATGGGATTTAGATGTTTGAGCGTTTTGTAGAGCGTTCGTCGAGGTGTGAACCAGGCCTTAGGCATGGGCTACATCACTAATGTCTAAGAGGACCAGAAAGGAAAAACAGTGATTGTAAGTAAAATAAAAATATCATTAACTAATGAATGTAAGATGATTTCATGCAGAGTTGAATGCTGATGTGACTTTTAGTGAAAGGGGGTAAGTGTCTGCTCCCCATAAATTTGCCAACGCCAAGCACAATAATTCACCTTAGTGCATGGAGCACATACTTACTTTTCATTTGTTCCTTTGCTTGTGCAGCCAGAGAAAAAACTCAGAACCTATGGCCATGGAGATGCATGCGACTCTTTACCATGCCTCTGCACAATGAAGCACAGACAACCCCAAGAAGATCAAGTGCAGTCACAGAGAGGAGAGGGGAGGGTTCCTAATCCTGTGTGAGCTCCAACTCACAGAGCTATAGAGATTTAGCAGGGGGCTGCAGAAGGCTAATGAGATGGCAGGACCTTATTTTTCCCTTAGTGGTTCAAGAACAGATTTGTTTCAAGCGCCCATGTCTCGTGGCACAAAAAGACTCCATAAAAAATTGCAGATAAAACCTTTGTACAGCTAGACTAAAATGGGAGTGCAAATGTGAGGTTTAAAAAGTAAATCAGATAGGAAACCTGAATCCTTCAGCTTTCCTTATGTATTAGGAGACAGCAGGGGCGAAAGTAAAAAATAAACGGATTTTTGAAAACTTGCTCGATTTGATTTTGTTTATACTTACATTTACCATGCCCCCTTGACATTTGCCCACAGAAGCCTCTGCAATATCCAGTGGCGGAGATGGGAGAACATGTAATCTCCTTACCTTCCTTCCACAATGCAGGGTATGGAGTCTGAGCTCAGACGTACAGTAGACCAAGTCTGAGCTCAGGCTTCCAGCTTAGGGCTCCAGTAAGCAAACAGCATGGTGAGGTAACACAAGAAAATTATGCTTCAACGGAAGGGTGGAGTGAGCCATCATGATTTACCTAAAATTATATAATTTGCTGCATCTTTTTGAAACACATAACTGTATACACTTTTTTTGGTTCTGAAAAACGTATAAACTTCTGCACACAAATACTGCAACACTGAATTGAGTTTTGGTAGTACTATAAAATGTAAGTGCCTTGGAGCTCTGCTAAGTGAATAGACCTAAATTCCAGAGTGTTGCATACCAGTATCACAGGGTTAGCTCCTTTGCGTATATCCACTCCCGCTTCAGTGTTTGAATGGATGTTATTCTCAGCTATGAGACCTCCAGCTGCCAGGCGTAGAAAAACCCCTGATGCTTTGCAGTGGTAAATTTCATTCTTTAGCATAACAACCTGTGGAAGAATCCCGACAATAAATCAATAACGCCAAACAAACTTTAAACATTTATAACATGGTAGATAATGCACTCTGTTACAATTACATGATGAATACAACTGATCATTGCTTATTTAAATGCTTGACTCCAGAAGGGGGGAAGGGGCTATCAAGACTTACTTAAAGGGTCAGTCCAGGCAAAACAAAGATTTCAGTTATGAGTAAATCCTACTAATTAAGTCAAGGAAATGCCTTCTTGCAGCTAAGCAAACCAGCTTGCCACAGCACGAGTTTCTGCCCCACATGTTATAGAAAGAATCTCACCACTCCAGTGGCAGAATCTATAATACACACTAGAGATGCACCGATTCCGGATTTTCGTTATTGAGTACCAATACCGATACTTTGCTTGTGATACTCTCCAATACCTAGTACCAATACAGGTGCTTCCGCTGGCATGGAGTAGGCTTCCTGGGCAATCAGGAAGCCGGGCGATGGGTAATGACATACTGCCCGGCTTCCTGATTGTCCGGGAAGCCAGCTCCATGTTGTTTGGCCAGCTTGATTGTTCCCAGCATCGAGGCGGCTTCCTGGCCAATCAGGAAGCCGGCCGTCTAGCAAATGACCCACCTCCAGGCTTCCTGATAGGCCGGAAAGCCGCCTTCCCGGCCAATCAGCATAGAGCCGGCTTCCCGGCCAATCAGGAAGCCACACAGACGGCTGAAATTAGCACGAAGACCCAGAGATGGAATCTAATGTACTTAAATGCAGGTTCAAGGCATACAACGGCAATATGTTTGTTCTCTCAAAAGATTAACAATCAATTTATTTTCATTTTCTTTGTAATCGCTAACAGAGGTGGACAAATTAAATAGAGAATTCTGGAGCCAGTTCCTGCAAAAATATTAAGGAGCATTGAATACCTGGCTCCAGGCCTGGCTGAAATAGAATAGAAGTAAAACAGCACAGAGAGTGGCATGGGAAAGGACTAATCTAAACTGTAATGAAATACAGGAGGTGAAGTAAAACACATCAATTCAGATCAATTCAAGTAAATGAGGTTGTTTTGGCAGCACAAGTATAAATGGAAATATCAAGAGACTACCAGGTTAAATTGTCCATAGGCCTGATCAGTAGTTATACAACTATATATTTGGGATTGCTCAGCTTTAGGCAGTGTGAAAAGAAGTGTCCTAGATATGTTTCACAGAATGTCAGGCAACAATCATTGTACATAAATAGAGAACATATGCCCCTCTGCAGTAGTCAGAGGACAGTCACAATCACTATCAAGATTCTTCAATAAAGCCACAGAACAAAATGCTTAGTACAGTGACATACAGAAATACATTGGAATGTATCTTTCTCTAAATTTAGTAACCAGTTTCCATGGGTTACTGCACGTTTACTGTATATTATTTTACTGCAAGCTGGTTAAGAGTTTTATTTCAAAGTGCAAAACAGAGGCTAAAGACAGACATAAGATGTCAGTTTCCTGATCTAGATCGACAATATAAAAGGGGGAATTTATGAATGTGTTTGCGACAAAAACATTTTAGGCACAAAAAACAAAATGTCATGCTAACTGACCACAAAGTTTCATCTTTGTTAAAGTGACATTAAAGGATTGTTCCTGTGATGGCGATTGAACTGTGGGAGGTGCGTTGGGGGGGACCATTCAAATAAAATGGCAACGCAACACACCTCCCACACCAGAGCACATAGTAGGTGCGATTGCGTGGTACAATGCATTAATGGCACAGGACTGTTCAATAAAAGCACTGTACTAGTGTGAACGAGCTCTCAAAAACACTGACAAGACACATACAACCACAGACACAATCTCACACTTAACCACAGACAGAATGTGACGTCACTCCGGTCCAAACACCTCTATAGGACACATGAGGGAGCTGTAAGCAATGCACATATGGATGGAGCTCTCTCGTAGCTCCAGCCTACCCCACCTCAAGCTGATACTCAGGGCCAGGCACCATATTCTGAATGGCTGCTTGGCACGAGAACTGACAGTGCTGTGCTAGGGGTAGGCGGAGAAGGCTCTCGCCTAGAAAAGTGGAAGGCATGCCACGACACACTGAACACGGGTTCGCGACCCACTTTTGGGTCATGACCCACCAGTTGAGAACCAAGGCCCTAAATAATGCCTCTTAATCCGATCTTCTTCTTCTTTACTGTCTTTTTCAGCTTTCCCTCCTGCGCTGGTGCAGGTCTCCGATCCAGCACTGACTCCTCTGTCCTCCTCTTCTCTCATGTCCCACGGAGTCTGTGCGGGTGCACGCTGCTCCGTATAAGTAACGATTGTGCGGCGCTAAATACCCTGGTGTATCTTAATATTAATTGCAAAACTATACAACTTTTCAAATTATCTTTATAAAAATTGTGTAAATTAGTAGTGAAAAATAATAGTTTGTTTGTGGCACACCATATATTTTTCACTACTAATTTACACAATTTTTATTAAGATAATTTGAAAAGTTGTATAGTTTTGCAATTTATATTAAGATACACCAGGGTATTTAGCTCCGCACAATCGTCACTTATATTCTTGGGACCTATATGTCTGTATTGTGGCAGCTTCACTACCCATATTAGTATTCCATCATCTATAAGCGCAGATCAATAGATACGCTGCTCCATATACTTACCTTGTGTCTCTCCTCGTCTCCCGGCCTAACATCTGAACTGCACATGCGCCTGCCCCAAGATCCTTTGCGGCCGCCCGATAAACTTTCAGATGTCCGGACGGAAGCGCGGCGAAGACACAGGTAAGTTTAAACCACTTTCAAAAGGTTTTTTAAAAAAGTTTTTGCATATATCTACTGCTGGCTAGCAGTAGATATATGCAAAAACGTGAGGGTTTAATAACCCTTAAAGCGCAGTTTTTCAAGTGTTTTTGTGACATATTTATGTTTGCGACTCACTGCACATATTTTCTGACATTTTGCATCATTTCTTAACTGCACAGTAATTGTGTCCAGCATTTGTGACTATAATAGACTTCCAAACTGTCGCACATTCTAGAATTGCTCCTGAGCTCTTCTTAAGGTATCGCAAGGATAATTCACCTTCACTTCCTCAAGTCAGCTGACTTCAGGACTATTCAGCTGTCACCCAGAAGTTTTCCAGCAAGATTGTGACCATTTAGAGACAAAGAACTTAGAGACATTCTCCTTATGAAGGCATTTAGGAATGAAACATAAGGTAGGATAATAAATCTGTTGCTACATACACTAGAAATCAGGGATGTGACAGTTTAAAAGATGCTGACGATGCAAACAAATTGATAAATTCCCCCCAATGTATATAGCCAGTGGCGTAACCAGAGTTATGGGCGCCCGGGGCAGAACATTTTTTTCGCCCCCCCCCATATTATATAAACATCCACTAGAACTGTACCCCCCACCCCCACACATATATATCAGCTAAGGAACTACAAGTGCAAGCATGCCATCATTGTCCCTGTACACCCCCCC